CTGTACTAAACATTTATAAATAAACTTCTGACTGGTTGACCATCATGGCTGCCAAAGGTTAAAAAAAAAAAAAAAATATCAAAGTAATAGAAATATGTTGTAAAGTAAGTACTAGGATAAAAATAAACTTTATAAAAATATATCAATTTAACTGACTGCAAGTGTTGGTTTTAATCATAGTATTACCAGATCAACTATAAGAATAAGATATAAAAGATTCTGAAAGGTTTAGTACAAAATTAAAAGTTTTTCATGTAAGTAAACTGTATTAAAGACTTAGTAACCAAGTATCAACTAGGATGTAAGTAGATGAGTGAATACAGGAACTAGAATGTTTAAATAAGAAACTTACAAGCATGCTCCAGGTATTACCTAGTAGACAAAATTTTTCGATGTGCCACGTATGATCACGTGCCAGTGAAATTTTGGTGCGATTTAGGGAAAGAGTATCTAATTACTAGCAGATACGTATTAGCCAATCGAAAATTATCTGACAGAATGGCCAATAAAAAGTTCTTTGCCACAGTCACTTCATTATAAATATGTAAACAGTCTCGGCTTTTTCGCGGATATTAACAACGTAGATCTTCGTTTGATCGCTCCATGGACTACGGATCTGCTCAAGCTAAAGATTTCTCTTATTCATTTTGCCTAACAAAAGACTTGGAACTACCCCTCACTGTGCGAATGTGAGTTAAATGACATTTCAAAGAAACGTAACATCAAAGTAATTCACATTTTTTCAAACTGTGGAACAGCTCGAGTCTTGAAGGCATTCGTGAAAAGAAATCTTTTACCACTGTACTTAGTGATCCTTCTCTCAAATTTACTGGTGTGCAAACAAGGTATTTTTTACAGCAAAGTTTTTAATGTTCAAATAGTTTAGAATTAAATTTTCCCGTTTCGACTATTAGCAACTTTTCTGATTTATATGTGAGCATTCAACTATACGGTGACAACAAGCCGCTTACTGTCCCAATTAGGACTTCATACAAATCATTCAAGAATAATTGGATGTATGTATTAAATGTGATTCTTAATTCTTGTTATGATATAAATTTTAATATTATTTGAAAAAATCTCAGTTGGAACGAATGGCTCACAATTCCTGTGAAGTATCGTGATCTTCCTGTTACTTCTCAATTGGCATTAACAGTTTGGGATGTTTACGGTCCGCGCAAGGTAGTTCCAGTGGGTGGCACCACTTTTCGCCTTTTTGGAAAGCACAAGTAAGATAATCTTAATGCTATAGATCGAGGAATAATACTATAATATCATGATAAATAGAGAAATAACTGATGTATCCCATGTTAGTACTTTGCGAAAAGGCAAGCATAAATTGTATCTTTGGCCAGATGTAGAAGCTGATGGCTGTGTGCGAACGACAACACCCAGTAAGGTTGGTGACAAAACTGAAATGGATCGATTGGAAAAGGTACAACATATACATTATTTTATATAATACGAGATTCATTATTTCATCCAGTTTACGATATTGATGTTGTTACTCAGTTGGTCAAGAGATATGAAAGGAATGATATGACGAAGTTGGAATGGCTTGATAATCTTGCATTCCGTCAAATTGAGAAAGTGCATAAGGTATGGATGTGTGTGATAATTCATTATAAAGTTATATTTGTGGTTAACAAGGTACTAATTTATTTCATTAGCAAGAATCATCAAAATCAAAAAATTTATATTTATATATCGATTTGCCAAAATTTGACTTTCCAGTAGTATTTAGTGAACCTGTAAGTATGAAATGGATAATCTATTTATATTTGTACATATATATTTCATAATTAGTCTTTTTCTTTTCTTAAAAAAAGGATTATCCACTGCCAAGCATCACACAGCCACCAGTGGTAAACAATGGTCATGTGCAGATTAATACAGTCACAACTTCGAGTGACCCGAACATAATTCTCATTGTTGATCCAGAAATTACACGTGAAAATCCAGTAGAAGCAAAACATAGACGTTTGGTGAGAAGTCATCGTAATGGGCCATTTGATCGTGATATGAAACCGAATGCCAAAATTCGAGATGAATTAAATGTAGGGTTACAAGATCAAACATTAACTAAATTGTGAAGATAAATGATCTGGCTTGTACTAACAAAGTACGTCATAATATTACCTTCTATAGGGAATATTGAAATATCCTCCGACACAACCCCTTACTTCGGAAGAAAAAGACCTGCTCTGGAAATTCAGATTTTATCTTACTCGTGAGAAAAAAGTAAACATAGACAAAATTTATTATGATTTACTATGAAAGTTTTCTGACAGTTTCTCTTATTTAGGCGCTCACTAAGTTTTTAAAGTGCGTTGTCTGGACTGACCCGACTGAGGTGAAACAGGCTGTTGAATTATTACCTCAATGGGCTGATATAGACTTGGATGATGCTCTTGAATTATTGGGGGCTAATTTTGAGAATCGGGCTGTTCGTGGATACGCCGTCAGTCAATTGAAAAAAGCAGATGACGAGGTCGGCATTGTGATTATTTAATAAGTTTATAATTAAATTGACTTTTTTTTAACCTGACATCAACTATTAAATATCAGGAACTGTTATTATATTTGTTGCAACTTGTTCAAGCTTTAAAATTTGAAAATATTAGTGATAAATCTAGCGCATCACATGAATCTAGCTTGGCGGAGTTCTTGATTGAAAGGGCAATTAAAAATCCCATTTTAGGAAATAACTTTTATTGGTAAAAATTTGATCTTATTGAATAAAGATTTTTTAGGTCATATATAACAAATTAATGATATTTATAGGTATCTTATGGTTGAATGTGAGGATAAAGTAGTTGGCAAAATGTATGGCAAAATTTCTTTTCAGTTCATGAAAGCCATGAAGGAGGTATTCTTTAACCAATATCTAGTTTTTTTACTAATTATATTACCTGTTTTCTCACAACTTATTGTACATTTTAGATCCCAACAGGTCTCGATCGACGAGATATACTTCGTCGGCAAGGAGAGTTGGTTGTTGCACTTTCGTCTATATCTAAAGAAATTCGCATGATGAAAGAAGCTAGGCCTAAAAAAGTATTTGTTTTTATTCTTGTGCAGTGACCTATGATATTATTTCTTGAAAATGTCTAACATAAAAAATAAATAGATTGAAAGACTTAGGGCTATAATATCAGATCCTAAAAATGGATTATTGCAATTTCCACCTTTGCCTTTGCCACTTGATGCTCGTGTAGAGGTTACTGGTATAAATCCAGGTCAGTTCATTATCTTAGTTTGTATATTGCATTTAAGGCATCGTATTGAATATTATTATTTTAGAAAAAGCCACGGTATTTAAGAGCAATTTGTTCCCATTAAGACTGACTTTTACACTAGTTGATGGTGGAGAGTATCCGGTAAGAATAAACCAAAAATTATACCTTTATTTCGTGTATTATTTATTAATTTTTTTTCGATTTTCCATTTATTAGGTTATATTTAAAACTGGTGATGATCTTCGTCAAGATCAACTCGTCATCCAAATTATTACGCTTATGGATAGGCTTTTGAGAAAAGAAAATTTAGATCTCAAATTGACACCCTATAAAGTTCTGCCCACTGGTTCAGATCATGGTGTTATGCAATTTATCACATCATCATCATTAGCAAATGTTTTGAGTGAATACAATGGTAGTTTGTTACAATTCTTGAAAGCGCATCATCCCGAAGAGAAGGCAGTGGGAACATATGGTGTTAGTCCCGCTGTAATGGATACTTATGTGAAAAGTTGTGGCATGTATCTACCAGTATTATTTCATTGATATTGTCGTAAATTAATTGTTGCGTACTTTTTTTCCAGCTGGATATTGTGTTATTACATATTTGCTTGGAGTTGGGGACCGTCACCTCGACAATTTGTTACTTTCTCCTGACGGTAAGTTATTTTTGTTTGTCAATTAAATTATACCAGCTAATATGATTTCGTATCTGTAGGAAATCTATTTCACGTAGATTTTGGATTTATCTTGGGTCGAGATCCCAAACCATTTCCACCACCCATGAAACTATGTAAAGAAATGGTGGAAGCAATGGGGGGCGCAAATTCAATTCATTATCAGAGATTTAAAAGCTATTGTTATATAGCATTTAATATTTTACGCAAAAGCGCAAATCTAATTCTTAATTTGTTAGCGTTAATGGTTGACGCAAATATAACTGACATTAAAATTGAACCCGATAAAGCAGTTTGGAAAGTAAGTCTTTTTGATAGCATGTTTCGTTTATGGTACTTGAATTTTATATTAATCCCTGTTACATTGTTATGATTAAAGGTCCAAGAGAAGTTTCGATTAGATTTGACAGAAGAAGAGGCTATTAAATATTTCCAAAATCTAATTAATGATTCAGTAAGTGCACTATTCCCGCAAGTTATCGAAACTATTCATAAGTTTGCGCAGTACTGGCGGAGATAGTGCACGAGTCGGACTTCTAGATTTCTTTATAAATATATAAATTTTATTATTTGTGAATTTTGATTTAATGAATGAATAATATACCGACGAACTGGTAGCTTAAGCAACTATGTGATCGATTGAGGAAAATTAACCTTTCTTATCGTTATTGTATCGTAATTGTATCGCTATTGTTCTTAACCAATACATTGTTTTTAATCAATACATAGCAATGTACACTTATTGTAATGTAATAATCTTAATAATCTTCGATTCTCGTACTCTCTTTCCTCATGTGAGGTAACAGACTTAATCCTATCGGTCATAAGAAATGAAATGCCATCTAATTATTATATAAAAATTTTATTGAAAATAATAAAAAAGGGAAAATCTTATGCATTTGCATTGTACTGTATTTTCAGTTTTTTTTGTTTTTTTTTTTGGTGTTAAGGTGACCTCTTGGGTCTTTTGACTTTATTTAACAATGGTAAATGTGGTTCAGTAAACTACTACAGGAAGAGCATACAATTGGTTACATATATAACTTTTTTATATTTCCTATTTAAGGAATCTGCCTGAAAGTTCCTTACTAATTATCAAATCTAACATCCTTGCTTGGGTATTTCACTTTAAACCCTCTGAATCTGAAAACCTGTTAATTTTACTAGGTTATACCTGATGTTCAGATCATCATCTCAACTTTGGGATTATTTTATCCTTGAGGTAAACCTTCTAGAACCTTTTGTACACATTTTTACAGTTAATTTAGGTATTGTTATGTTAGAATCAACACTTGCAATCAGGATTTAACCATTAAATTACTATGTTCTTGTAGAGTTCATTTAGATTTCAGTATTTATTTTATAGCATAATTCTGGTATTTTAGTATATTCTTGTTTTTTCACTTGTTTTTTTATCAAATTTTTAATTCAGATAGTCCATATAGGATTACAATCAGTTCATTAATATATCAGGTTAGCCTAATATTCTTTTCTTCTAGTTTATTCTGGTGGTCTGGTTAGTAGTATTTCTAATACTCTTAATCCAAAGGTTCTTGACTATCCAGTTACTACAATCAGGTATTATAATCTTGGTATCTGTTTTTCTAGACTAGATTTTACAATAGGATTGTTAAAGATCTAGTTATCTCTTTATTTGGGTCTTTTTAAATGGATTTTTTGTTATCCAATTTCAATGGATTTATATAGTCATAAAGATTTATCTAGTGTTTGTATTATCTAATTTGTTGGTTTGCATTTTTCTATATAATGTTATACTTATACAGATGTCTTATGATCTGTCAGTCATGCTAGTATGATTGTTATTACAAATATCCTAATTCAATCATTAGTAATAGTTGCTGTAATATGAATATTATATAGGTAGAGCTGTTACCCAGGTCAGGTTGACCCTTATGGGTCAGAAATTGTCACAGATTATGCGAGTCACAAGTCAAAATCAGGTTGATCCAGGTTAGTCATGCTTTGTGTAACCCATTAAGTCTACCATATAAGCTTCATGTGGTAAAGTAATTCACGTTAAAAGAAATAAGCAATAATGAAAGTAACGTTTAAAGAATTGATTCCTATGAAAATAACAAACTGGACTTTTAGTGAATTTTATTAACATAATACAAATTCTTTTAACACTATTATTATAGCAAGATCAAGGTGCTTATTTATTAAAACTCGACCTAAGTTATTCTTCAATTAGTTGAAATTAAAGAGTAACTAGAATGACTTATATGAGAAGCTTAGTTGAATGAGACAATTAGATTTGGCGAGCTGGGTGGGAGGGTTGTAGGTATGTCTTCTAATACTCGAGTTAATTTGAACAGTCTTTCAAATACAAATAAACTAACACTTCTTTAATTATAATCTGGATTCTGCAACTTGGAACCCAAATATCGAACATAAGTTAATTAATAATCGAATATTGATGCAGAACAATTTAGCAATTTTAAGATACGTCAAATGACAGGAGCAATTATTTAGAAAACTTTAATTTTGTCTAATAGTTAAAATATTTTTTGTTTTTGACATCACTGCAAATTGAATATATTTAAAATGTTATTTAATACAAATAAATCCTGAATTTTATTAATAACAAATGAATATTATTAAAAATAAGAATTACTATATACAGTTTTTTTTTTTTTTTTTGTCAATTATACATACCTTATTCGCAATATTTATAGTATTTTTAAACTATAAAAAGTAGCGAATTGTTATTAAGTTGAAATACCTTGTTATTATTTTGATATTCTCCAAGGGTCACATATTAGACACTGTTAACTAATTTTGAAAATATAATGATCGATATCTAAAGCTGCTAGATGTGTTTTGACCTTTGCACTCGTATTTTGTGATTCATCACTGTTAATGATTACATTAAAATTTTCTTTGCTATCAAGAAATTCAAGATAATTTTTTGAAAGTTTTTCAGAAATTTGCAGTTTCACTTTACTGTTTAAACATGTGTAAGTATAATTTCTGATCAATAAATGACAATAATTTTTGACAAAAAATAAAACCTTAATCAAAAACATGCGAAACTGGCCAGAGCTTTAAAGTCATCTTGAGAAATAAAATTGTTCCAACATATTCAGAATTGAGACAGATTTGTTTTTCAGTGATTGTAAGGCCTGCAAATGAGAAAAGGTGTTTGGATGGTACCGATGTTGCAGGGATGGATAAATACTTGCGAGCAAGTTGTGTAAGTATTGGGTATTCTGCTTTTCTTGATGCCCACCATTGGAATACATCTGTTTGGTTTGAAACTTTTGGCAACAACAAATATGAATCAAATTCATTATCAGTTATAATATTTTGATTAGATTGCTCTTGGGATGAAATAGAAGTTAAATTAGAAAAAATATCTTCTTCACTATCCATCTCATCACCAGACATTTGATCTTCTATTTCTAATATATTATCCAATTTTTTATTAGAATTTAGATGATCATATTCAGTACGTGCTTCTGAAATGATCATTTGTTTTTCGTATTCTGTAAATATTTCCATATTTTTAGTTCATGGATCAAAAAAAATAGCAAGTCAGATTGGTTTTGCTGGTTCTGAAAACTGTGACTAAATTGACTCATAAAGATTTTTTCCAAAATTTTAAATGTTATCATTATATATGATTGTGCAATCAATTTTTGTTTTTATATAATTAATAGCAAACCATGTCTGTGAAAGTGTTGAATATTTTGAGCCTGATAGAAGTTTTGAAACAACTTCATAAGGGTGCAGTAACTTAACTAGATCAACTATTTTATCCCAATCATCAGAAGATAGCTCTTTTTCTTCATAACTTTATAGTAAATTATTCTCACCAGCCTTAGCCAAAAGCAATTTATATTTATATAATGCTGGTTTAAGAATAGTTAAGCGTTTTAACAAGTAGAATGTTGAGTTCCATCTTGTTGAGACATCACAGACTATACAAAGAAACCTATCCCAATCCTCCATTTCTATTTGAGCTGTTAAAAGAAATTGTTTTTGCTTCAGGCTTCCACTAAAATGTAATATGACATCTTTGCATTTTTTTATTAGATTTGTAATACTAGAGCACTCTTTTAGTGCATCATTTATAGCAAGTTGTAAAGTGTGACCAAAACCAAAAACTTTTAATATATTATATTTATACTCTAACTTTTCTACACATAATTTAATATTCGACCAATTGTCAACTGTACTACAAACAGTTTTATCTCTAAGCTGCAGATAATCTAAAATTTCAACTATTTTGTTTAAAAGATGATCTGCAGTATGTGGATAAGAAAGACATGAAATACTACTGATCATTTCTTTCATTTGAAAGTCATTATTGATCCAATGGATCGTAAGTCCTATATATGGGTTGCTATTATTTGACATCCATATATCAGTAGTGAATGAAGTGTAACAGATTTCAGTATCATCAAATGCATATTCGTGAAGATTTCGCAAAATTTTATCTTCAGCATTAATAAGAGATTCATTTAAATAATCTTTACTAAGTATATTTGCTCGTTCATCAAGTTCTTCAATTATTCTCTTAAATAATAGTGATTGAAGAATCGAAAATGGCTAAAGATCATTAATGATAAAAGCAGTGATATTACGATTAAGCTTTTTTTGTTTTGGGTTATTGAATACATATTTAGTCTGTTTGTTAAATGCTTGTGTTATTGTCATTTGTGAAGATTCCACCATTATATGAAATTCACATCTGCCATTCTCATTTGATACAATTTTTATCTAACCACTTTCAATTATAGTTCTGAAAATATGATGCTTACTTCTTAAATGCCTTCACAAATTTGAGGTAGAACCATCTTTTAGATATTTTATTTGGGGGGTACAAGTTTTATGATGACAAACTCACATTTCTATATTGTTAATTATCATTATTGTATAAAATGGTTTAACCAGACTGCCTCCTGGCCTTTCAGCTTTTTTTTTTTTGTTGCAAGTTTTTGGTTAATGGTCGATTGCTAGTAGAAGGTTGTAGGAAGGCTTCATTGTTATCTGCACTATTATATTCTGACATTTCCAAGCTAGCATTATTAAGTTCTGTCATATTATCACTATACTCATTGTTGTCCATTATATTAGCAAATGTCTTGTTTATCTGTCTTACAGTTTAAATCAATTATTATTTTAACGCATAAAATAATGAATTTTTTTTTTAGTAAGAAAATTTTCAAGATAACTATTCCAAAACATACAGTATATACTTTATAAGATGATTTTTATTGCAGCTATCGTAAGATCTTAAAAATAATTTATAGTAACATCTGATTTTTAACAAATTAAAAAAAAACCTTTAATATTTACATTTGTAGATAAAGTTTCTATGATAGAATTCTAATAACAAGACTTGAAAATACATATTGCTTGATTTTTGTTCATTATAGATGCTCATGTGCTTAAAATGAACTTCACAATTTATCTAGTAATAATTACTAATTGTTATATGATCTTTACAATTTTCTCATAATTATGTACCAATTTTGTTCACTATAGATGCTCATGTGCTTAGAATGAACTTCGCAATTTATCTAGTAGTAATTACTAATTGTACAAATTCAATTGTTATACAATTTCTCACAGTTACGTACCAATTTGAAACATTTTTATTGTTATAAAGTTTGTTACATTAACTAACTTTAAAAAAACATCATTAATACTAGTTTAAAGCTTCGTTATATTTGTAATAGATATTACACGGGCTGTTGTGAATATTATGAATTAGCATGGTGAAGTCATAGTAACACATGATGTTCACAGTGCACGTGTAATATCTGATATATTCAACGGTCATTATGCCTGTAACATTTCTGATTAAAATTTTTACTGATGATGTTATACCGTGTAATATTTTTTGATATCTTCACGGTATTACATTATCATAAAAATATCAACAAAATGTTTATAGGCGAACATTAAGTACTGTGGAATATAAAAAAATTATAACACATTTGACCCGGGTCACAACCCAGGTCACAACCTGAGTCAATATCTGACTTGAACTCTTTTGACCCGAGTTACTTTTTTTTAATCCGAGTAATAGCTCTATATATAGATGATTATTCAAATTTTTACTATCAATAGGATTTGAATACCTAAACTACTACTTGGAGGATTGATAACCTGACCACTTTACTATATTGCTATATCTTATTTTTATTTTTATTTTTTTAAGGTAATCTCTTTAGTCTTTTGACTTTTATTGATTACTTATTAGTATTATAGTTCAATAAACTATTATAGAAGAGTGTACAATTAGTTACATATATAATTTTTCTATATTACTTATTTAAAGAATTTATTTGAAAGTTCCTTACCAATTGTCATACCTAACATACTTGCTTAGATGTTTTATTTTAAATCTTCTAAACTTGTAACTTGTATTAACTCACTGGATCATACTCAGATGTTCAGATTATTGTCTTAAACTTAGGACTAATTTATCTTTGAGATAAACTTTCTAAAATCTTTTGTACTTATTTTTACAGTTGACCTAAGTATTGCTATAGCAGAACCAATACTTGTGATTAAAGTTTAACTATTAAACTGCTATGTTCTGGTAGAGTTTACTTAGACCCTAGCATCTACTTCACAATATAACTCTAGTACTTTAATATATCTTTGTTTTTTCATCTGTCTTTTTATCAAACTTCTAATTCAGATAGCCTGTGTAGAATTACAATCAGTTTATCAGTATATTAGGTTGGCCTGATATCCTTTTTCTTTGATTCATTCTGGTAGTCTAGTTGGTAGTATCTCTAAGGCACCTAACTTGAAGATTCTTGGTCATCTAGCTATTACAACTAGGTATTATAATTTTGGTATTTATTTTTCTAAACTAATCTTTACAGTAGGATTATCAAAGATTCAGCTATCTTTCTATTTAGGTCTTTTCAAATAAACTTCTTGTTATCCAATTTTAATGGACTTATATAGCCACAAGAACTTATTTAGTATTTGCACTGTTTGATTTGTCAGTTTGCATTTTTTTGTATAATACTATACTTATACAGATGTTCTATGATCTGCTAGTTATACTAGTATGACTACTATTACAGATATTCTAACCTAATTATTAGTAACAGTTGCTATAATATGAATATTATATAGATGATTATCCAAATTTGTACTGTTAATAGGATTTGAACACCCAATCTACTACTTGGGAGTTAACAACCTAATTACTTCACTAAGTCACCACATTACATTTTTAATTTTTTTTAAAAAATTTAAATAAAGCTATATATAATAGTTTTTAGATTAAATTTTTTAACTTTATTTTTTTATTAAGGTAATTATTTTTCTTTTTGTTTTTTTTTTAGTATAATAAGGTCTTGTTTTGTAACTTTATTGAGCATTAGTACCCTATATGTATTACTACATTTTTATTAAATTATTTCAAATACCTTAAGATTATTTTATTTATAATTTAAATCTTTTAGTATTTTGTTTCTTATTTAAATTTTTTGTTTTACAATTTGTATTCAATTTTTATCTAATATATTAATTATTTTTTTTTGGTATTAAGGTGAAGTTTTGCTTATATCTTTATTAGTAATTTAAAATAGTTATATATATATATATGCTATAATTAATATTAATATTTTCAATTAGGTTAATTATTAATTATACAATTATTACTATTTATAAAAATAAATAAATTAAAAATTATAAATAATAATTTTTTTTTTTGCAGATTTTGGTAACCTAATTAATTATATATTTTTTTATATATATTTGTTATTTAGTTTATCTAACTTTTTTTAAAGTTTTTATTAGTTTAATAGTATTAAAAGTTTATATTATTTTTTTATTTAAAATTTTAAATAAAATTCTGTTTTTTTTTTAGTTTTTTTTAGTATTATATATTTGATGATCTTATTATAAGTTTGCATTAAAGTCTTATACAATATAAGTTTTAATATATATATATATTTTTTAGTTAAAGTCCTTGTCATGAAAGAGTGATTTTTATTCAAATTTATAAAACATAAGTGTTTTTAGAAGTTCACTAATATTGGAGGTTACAACTAGTCATATATGCACTTTTGGTACCTAATTTAAGTAGTCCACTTATATATTACTATATAAATTCTACATTAGATATTATACCTGCAAGCCAGCTAGAAGTTTTGTTTATTTAAATCTTTTGTATATATAATTTATCTTGTATTATAAGAACATTTTCAAAGTGTTAACTATCTAAATTTCTGATTCTTATTAGTATTTTTAAAACTAATTTTTCTTAACAAAAAACTTACTAAAGTTTTTATATCTCACATATACAAATTTAGTTTTATACAATACATTATAGTTATCTAACATTTGCAATCATAAAGGTTATCTGTTTAACTATTATATTATACTATTTTTATTTTTATAAAGTTTATTAGGACTTTAATATTTCTTTTTTTTAGCATCTGTCTTTTACTTTAAATTTACAAAACTTTCTAAACTACTAATCTGTAATAATATTTTAAAATTCTTTTCCTTTAGCAATTCTTGGTAACCTGGTTAGTATATGCTTTTCTATATATTGTTACAAAGTAGATTATTAATATAATATAATATATTATATTATTAGTAGTTATTATATATTCATTATTGTATTTTATATTATATTTATTATTAGTTATTAGCATAATTATATTATAATATATAGTAGTTAAATAATAGGATCTTAATTAACTATTAGAAGTATAATATAGATACATGATATCAAAACTCTTTCTGCTGATCTCTAATTTAAAAAAAATCAAAATTACAAAACTAAAAATACAATGAAAAGTAGTATAGCAAGCACTTATTATAGTTTTAGAAAAAGCCTCTAGTATTAGAAGCTATCATTGCTTTATTAGAACACAAAAAAATAAACTTCCCAAACAACAAATATAAAATTTCTTGATTTTTTTAACAAAATTTTAAAATTTTTGAGAATTTTTATAATTTTGAAAAATTGTTGTTAATTTAGAAAAACAGAAGATCTTAGCACATGATTATATAATATAAACAAACAATAACAAACAAACCAAACACATTTCCAATTAGATAATCACTATTATAGTTAGGATTTAACAAAATAACTAATAATATTACAACAAATAAATGCATATAAATTATTTAAACAAGAAACAACCTGATCTAGTAGATCAATAAATAAAATTCAAAAATCAGATATTATAGATTATATCAGAGGACTGAGTGACAAAAACCATAGATATATTAACAGCAAAATTCTAGATTATGTTCTAACAACACCTACAAAAAGCCTATGCAATATTGAGTATATTGCAAAAGATCTTGTATTAAGTGATCTAGGCCATATTACACCTAATGACTTATTGCTCTATAGTCAAATTTTGGAAGCCCTTTGTCTTGCAGAACTAGGATGATTAGAAGAAGGCATCAAAGACAAATGGATAACAAAGCTTAGAATAATAAATCAACATTCAGACTCTATAGAATATAAATCAAATATAAGTCAAGAAAAAAGTACTTAAGATAAAATGAAAATAGAAAAAATAACTAAAGCCAAAGAAGTAAAAGAAACAAAGCCTGTAATCAGTAAAAAAAGATAGCAAAAAAAAGATAATATAAAGAGAAAAATTAATCAAGATTCTAATCCAAGTTTAAAACTAATAGAAGCTGCTCTAGAAGACAACAAAACAAGTATTAAAAAGGGA